TCTGAAATATCCAGTGTAGATTTTAAAAAGTGTTCTCCAGATGAATCGCAGTGATAGTGATAATGATAGAAATTATATTTCTAATGTTTTAAGGAAAAATATTTCAAAGCTTTGTGGAAATTAGCTGCATAAACAGATGGGGAAATAAGACTGAGAAATAGTCACTTGCTTTTAGGCATCTGTGAGTTAATGCTTGAAAAGAGATTTAGAATGTGTACTTTCTGGGTTCATAGTTAATGCTCATAACTACTGTGCTATTCCACCTGTGCAGATTCCAGCAATTTTTAATTAAAGCCTGTGCTACATATTTCTTCCAATTTATTCTGTTTATTTTAGTGGGTTTCAACTTCTGTAATAACCTAATTATTCAAAGGACTGGCGTCATGGCCTACTAGATAAACAGTACCTAATATCCAGACTTATGCACATGGGGATAGGAATAAAGTAATGTATGTTATGGTAAATTATTGGATTGCTGGATGCAGTCCTGTAGACCAGAGCCCAAAGATCAAAATGTGTTGTGATGTGCATGCTTATGAATGGTCTTTTACAAGGATCAAGAGTTTCCCCCACCTTGCTTTGATCAGAGAATAGGGAGTCACAGATTCATGTCACATTAATACAACTGGAGATTCATTTGGTGGTTGTCATAGAGCTCACATGCACCTAGATTTACAAGACTGGGCCCACAAGTTCAAATTGTTTATACATGTTCCCATGCTTTTTCGCAATTGCTACACTTAACTTTGAAATGAAGAGACACACAAAAGTTCCTGAGGAATTTGAATTTCAGCGAGAAAGAAATAAAGTGGATGTTCCTGAGGCAACAGAAAGCAGAAGATGGACCTGAGAAAGTGGAGGAGAACAAAGACACAGAAGAAGAAGAGAAAGATGGGGAAGGCTGTGATACCATCTCAAAGAGTCTGGCAAAAATCTCTGATCCTGAAGCAGAACTAGGGGCTGTTGCTCCTAAACCATCTAAAAACTAATTTGGACTTTGATAAGAGGAACGAAAATTGCCAAACAGATTAACTCTGATAGCCTGTTGCTTATTTTTTAATGCATAACTTTAATTTTATGATATTTACACCTTAGTTAAAGAGATTATGATTGCTTGCTTGACACTTTTGCATTAGTAATCTTCATGTACTACTACTAAGATAACAGAGACATATCAATAACTTTATATTTCTGTATTATGGATCCTTGTTACTCTTTATTTTAGGTTGTTCCATTACTCTGACCCTGTAGTTTTGTAGATTAGAAAATAAAAAATTTAAAAGACAAAAAAAGTTCCTGAGGAATTTAGTATATTTTAAACTCAAAAAGCTTTAACGTTTTCAGAATACAGGTTAGCAATTACTTATACTCTGAGAAAATTATTTTATTAAACAACTTCTCATTTTGCAATGTTAAATGCTTTAATAACAAATTTGTTTCTGCTGTATTTTCTGGGTAAGTATAAAAATGCAGAAATAGATTTCCAACCACTGTTTAATCATTGTGTAAAAAAATATGTGTCGAACATTCTTTTATTTAAGCTATGATTGTAGAAGCAGCCAGTTAGTTTATACAGGGATTCTTGTGTGACATTGATTTTTTTTTGTCCCTTGTTTGTGTTCAGTTTTATTATTAAGATGACAATAGTCGCGTAGGTCCACTCTAATGCAACACACAAATCTATTATAACCTGATTATATTTCCCCACTGGAAGCATTTTCTGATAGAGGGCATAATCTTTAATGGAATTTGTGTGAAATTAAATTATACAAGCATCAATAAACATAACATAATTCAGAAGGAGTAAATCAGCTTAATTTATTTGTAGCTGAATGGCATCAGTGTTAGCAGAATGCAAATGCAGAGGTTTAAAGGAGAAGCTGAAAAGCAGTGCCAGATGAGCAGAAAGTTAAACCCTTTATTAGACTACACTGTAATTTGATGGGCAGAATATTCACGGTTCAGTGGATCAGTACATGGAGTCAAAAAGAAAAGCTTGCTTGCCAAACAGGGTTTCAGTGGTGATACCCTGTGGAGAATAAAAAGTTAGTTTGATTATTCTGGTGAGGTGAGAAGAACTGTCTTGTAATAGTGACCTAAGATCTCTCTCATCAAGAAGCAGGGACATTAACATGCTTCTTAATGAATACATTTGTGACTGCTGCAAAAGTGTTTTTTTTTCCCTTGCCTGGTCACATTACTGTGGTATTCATTCTTCTCCATTAGCCAGTAAGTCATGAAGTATAATCCATTGCCATTGAAAGCAATGGTAGGTGTCCCACTGATTTCCATAGATGAGGATTAAAACCCTGTAACTTTCTTGACATATGCTGAAAGTGCATGAAGCTCTGAGATCATGTAACATGTAACATGTAGCAGACCTTGTGAAACTGTACGTCCAGCAACTCCTAACCAATTGGAAGGTACAAAATGTCTCCCCCCCACTACATCCCACCTCATTTCTTAAGAACTCACCAGGAAAAGTGGCAAGGGAAATTGTCCTAAAACCAACAGCTCTAAAAGTAATTCATTTTAACTAAAATAAATTATTAGGAAAGCTTTGGACTGATTCACATAGCCCATGATTCCCTCAACATGGTCCAAGCAAGAAATGAGTGCGCGGTCTCTAATCTGGGAGAACCAGGTTTGATTCCCCACTCCTCCACTTGCCCCTGCTGATGTGACCTTGGGTCAGTCACAAGCTCTGGCACAGCTGTTCCTGAAAGAGCAGTTTGTGTCAGAGTTCTCTCAGCCCCACCTACCTCACAGGGTGTCTGTTGTGGGGAGGGGAAGGGAAAGGAGTTTGTCAGCCGCTCTGAGACTCCAAGTGAAGGGCGGGGTATAAATCAAATCTCTTCTTCTCTTCTTCTTCTTCTTCTTCTTCTACTTTACTTGAACTGCATTTTTATTTTGTTTGGCTTTTATACATTATATCATATTATATTGTATTGTATTTTAGGCACATTCCCAATCTAGTGGAAACAGTACCAGTGCAACACCTACCCGAAAAGTGCAGTCTTCTGCACCCAAAGTCCGCAAAACTGTCAGCAGTCGAATACATGAAGCAGTAAAAGCTATTGCCTTATGTCACAACGTTACACCTGTATATGAATCCCGAGCGGGAGTAACTGGAGAAACAGAATATGCAGAAGTAGATCAGGATTTCAGTGATGAAAATAGAACTTACCAAGCTTCTAGCCCTGATGAGGTAAGACTACCATAATAAATTTTGTTTTAAACATATTTATTGTTAGCTTTTAAAAATTAAATTTACTATTACCTTGTGCAAATGTAACTTACAACCGGATTCTGGCATCAGCAGTTGACTGTCAGCAACTGGGTATCTAAACTCTTTATCTGAAGTCTTGGGAACTGAATTCTATAAAAGCAGTGGCCTGTTTTCAACCCACCTTTGTATATGGCTTTTTTCCTTGCCCCAGCTTTCTGCTGTGAGCATAAGCAATGAGACTAGGTGTACAAAATTGTGCATTGCCAGCAGAATAGTAGAATGCGCTGGATGTCACTAGATGGCATTATAGTTCATCCTTTCCTGCATTTTTCCCTTTCTTATTTTTTGGTGCAGTATTGCAGTTCCCTTCCATTAAGAACATAAGAACATAAGAGATGCCAATGTTGGATCAAGCCAAAGGCCCATCTAGTCCAACACTCTGTCACACAGTGGCCAAAAATACCAGGTGCCATCAGGAGGTCCACCAGTGGGGCCAAGACATTAGAAGCCCTCCCACTGTTGGCCCTCCCGAGCACCAAGAAGACAGAGCATCACTTGCCCCAGAGCCCCTATCTATACCTTGTGGCTAATAGCCACTGATGGACCTCTGCTCCATCTGCCTATCTAATTCTCTTTTGAAGCCGTCCATGCTTGTAGCCGCCGCCACCTCCTGTGGCAGTGTGTGTTAATTCCATGTGTTAATCACTCTTTGGGTGAAGAAGTACTTCCTTTTATCCGTTCTAACCCGACCGCTCAGCAATTTCATGGAGTGCCCACGAGTTCTCATATTGTGACAAAGGGAGAAAAGTACCTCTTTCTCTACCTGTTCTTTCCCATGCATAATCTTATAAACCTCAATCATGTCACCCCTCAGTCGTCTTTTCTCCAAGCTAAAGAGCCCTAAGCGCTTTAACCTTTCCTCATAGGGAAAGTGTTCCAACCCTTTTATCATTTGAGTTGCCCTTTTCTGCACTTTTTCCAAAGCTATAATATCCTTTTTAAGGTGTGATGACCAGAACTGCACACAGTATTCCAAATGAGGTCTCACCATTGATTTATATAGGGGCATTATGATATTGGCTGATCTGTTTTTAATACCCTTCCTAATAATCCCCAGCATAGCATTAGCCTTCTTTATTGCAGTCACACACTGTCTCGGCATTTACAGTGAGTTATCTACTACAACTCTAAGATCTCTCTCTTGGTCAGTTTCTGCCAGTTCAGACCCCATCAAT